TTGATTTGCCTATAACCACTCTAAAATTGTTACTTTATGAGAGGTGAGAGGTTTTATACAGTCCTTCTACCAATTGGAATTGAATTAATTCTTCCTCTGTGGTTATTCCTTGTTGTTCTAGTTCATGAAATTCACAATATCCACTGGTATCTATTAATCTTAGATATTTCCTTCTAGGCTCCCCAAATTTTTTGTTTCAATGCTAAGAATTTAGTTTGTTCAGTTATAACCAATCTTTTCTTTGGTTGAAAATTTCTCAATATTATTTCTTTGACTTCCTTAAATGTCAAGTTTTCAATTTCAGCTGGGTAAGTCATTAAAAAAATCTGCCTAATGGCTTCACATCCTGCAGTGGCCAAAAATAGATCCATTTCTGTCCTTCAGGTGTTTGGTCATCTCATAACTTCTTTATTCTGCCATGTGCTTCAAAGCATTTTATCCAAATCTTTACGTTTTCAGGTTCCTCTATGTTCAACAGAGCTCTGTCAGGTGATGCCTTTTTGTTATGATGATCCAACTTAGTAGCTGTAGATATTCTATGTACATTGACTCAAAGATTCCCATGAGCTATAGCTCTCTTTAATTACCTATTAGCTAAACCAATCCCACTGAAGTCTGTTGAGAAGGTAAAAATAGGAAGAATTCACTTTCACGCAATGTTTAATTCCAAAAGTAAAATCAGCTTTAATTTTTATGATTGACAAATGTATTTAAAATTAAGAAAACTGCAAGCAGCAAACTAAAATTCTGATATTGTCTAGAATGAACGCAATGAAATATTTGTGAAAAGTGAATCGAAATGGGCATATTGGTTATCATAATAGTGAGGATCAGGCAAGCCAATGGAATTGTGCATTTAATCAGTATTTGGTAATTGGTAACTTAGTTTATTTTTATCATATTTTTTCTGTATTTCAAGCAACTCAATAACAAAACAAGATATTTTAATTTTAATATTTTTACAATTTCTAATGTGAAAGATATTTAATATGCAGAGATATAAATATATTTAATTTTTTTTATCAAAATGAATAACATTTTTATTGATATTTCATTTTTAAATAGAATATTTGTTGGTTATTCAGTAAGAATTTCATTTAGTTCCATTCATTCTGAATTTTAAATGCAAATATAGAAACCCTTTCAATTCAAAATTTTTACATTTTATACAAGTTCAAGGTTGAACATGATGAAGCTGAAAATGTAAAAAATAATAAATCATGTTTCTGGGAACAATGTTAATATCTTGTCTCATGATAATGTTTGTCCTCATGTTGCCACTATGACATTTACTAATAATGAAGCATTTGAAAAGAGATTCCATTGCACCAATTCACCCAAACTTACTACCATGGCTAACATATTTTTGCAAGAATTATCATTCAAGGCAACTTTTCTTCGATAGCAAAAAATAACAAAAAAACTTCATTGAATTTATTTTTTTCAAGGAATAAATTTTTAAGAAGTGAATTGACTACCTTTAGTATTTGATTAATGTATAGAATTTGAGATAAATAGTTTGAAAATATAATCTGGGAGTTGTAATAAAAACAAGAGAAATTATGATGAAAGAAATATGATTTCCAAATGGATAATACAGTCACCCCTCACTTAACAACTGGTTTCCATTCCAACAACCTGGTTGCTAAGTGAGAAGTTTGTACCTAATCTCTATATCATTCAGACTATGTTTACTTGTTTTCTTTCAACCAGCTTCAGATATCTATAATGCCAATTTTGCACCATCTGTAATATTTTTAATTCATTTTTAAATGTTTTACAGTACAGTAGTGTACTGAACAATAAATGAAATAGACACATTAGAAAAACATCTCTATATTCTGTACATTACTTCAGTTTGCATATTGTAAATACTGTAGATTTTTATTTATTATTCAATTCATTTATTTTGCTCCATTTTGAAGAAAGAGAAAATAATCCTGATCAAAGTGTTTGTACAATATACAATACTGAATGGTTGAATTTTTTATTTTATAAAATTTTATGACTGGTTTTAAACAGCTCAGTTGTTAATAATTTTATACATTTCTTGCAAAACAATCTGCTCATATCATTTTTCATCTAAGTTTTTGGAAGATAAATTTTGGTGAACACAAAAATTCTGTAATTATTCAGAGAGTTTTGAAGAGAAAAATTTTGGTAGAAGCTTAAAAATCTTCTGCTTTCCTAGCCTATGCCATTACCCTGTATCTTTGACTGTTGAAATGAAGATGACAGGTCTCTTCCCCTTTAAGCTAAATACAGTTGAAGCAATTCAAGAAATGTCAAGAAGGAAATTAGGTCAGATTGTAAAATAATTATTTTTACTTTTTGTTTTAATTCTTTTTACCTTTTATTTTTCTTGCCCAAATTATTATTATCTGAGCTACAAAATAATTTGGTAGATGAAGCCACTTAACTTGGGGATATAATTAATGAGCTTGTCTACCAGATCCAAGACTATCTGAAACATTCTCCCCCAAGATATGATATGTAATACCAGATTTTCTTATGTTCCTTGAACCTGACTTGAAGAGGAGAGCCAGTTTCTCTTTTATATTCTTTCCAACATTTGCATGGGATTTTGTATGTGCAATTTATTCTGAAATTTATCTCTTGTAAGGGAAAAACTCTAGTAAGGTTGTTGCAAAGAGTGCTTTTGCTATTAAAATACATTTTTTATAGGATACATATGAAATTGAAGTCCAATGTTTCTGTACAGCTTCTATTTTTTTTTGTGAATTTCCGAAAATTTATTTCTAGACCAGAATTAAAAATGTCATGATAAAAAAGTAGATAAAGACAGAAATAGGACAAAAAAAGATAAGTGTGTGTAATAAAGCTGTGAATGAATGAATGAAGTTGTGATTAGACAGAATACTTTCGGTTCTTTATATTTTGACAAAAGGTTGTGAATTAGG